GCCGCCGACCAGCGCCAGGCCCGCGGGCACAGCGGCGGTGCGCATCATGAGCCGCATCTACCACGACTGCGCCCTCCGGAACAAGGCGGTGCGGAGCGCGCGGCTGCCGGGGGCCTGGGACCCCGCCATCCACCAGGGGTAGGCCCGCCGCGCTCTGCCCCCGCCTCTCCGACCCCCTGGGCCGGCCCTCCGGCCCCGGCTTGGAACCCGGGCTCCGGGACTGGGGAGGGGACCGCGGTCCGGGTGCGGGTGGGAGGGAAGGACCTGGCCACAGCTACCCCCCCCCAACGCTCCCCTGCGCCCTGCAGCCGGAGCGCACCCCCTAAAACACAGATAGGCTTAAATCTCCCCACTGCACCCCCCCTCCCCGTACCCTTCCCGACGCCTACACGGAGCTCAAAAGCACCGACCTTTGTCTCAACCCCTCCCCAGCCGTGACTATGAACTCCAGCCACTTGCCTCGGCGCCCTGCCCGCAGGCCTTGGCACAGGCCGCCCCGCTTCCCGCCCCGGAAGGGAGGACGTCGTGCAGTGACCACAAGAGCGTGGGGCAGTTGGCTTGGCGTGGCCGTGGGAGGGCAGTGCCTGCTTGGAGGCGCGTGTGGGCTCGGGATGGGGGGGGTGGCTGTCGCAGGGAGGTTATGAGAACAAATGGACCATTCCATTTGCAGTTAGAAACGCAAGAATTTGGAGGTGAGGCGGTGGGTAGGGTAAGTAAAGTAGAGCGAGTTTGCATTTTCATGCCCATCCTTTCATGTCCCCACCCCTCTCTCATTTCTGTGGCTCTGAAAAGGGAAGCCTCTGGTTCTGCTTTTTATGAGAACTAGGAGCGGGAAGCGGGGATCTAGTTCCTCTCGGCGAGGGACCCGGCGATCTTGGACTAGTCATAAAACTTCTAAGTTTGGGTTTTCCCGCCATTAAGTGGGTATGAATGAGGAGAAGAATGGAAAGTGTTTTAAAACAGGTGGGAAAAAAAAACAGGTGAAAAAGGAAGATACTTTATAGCACCTTAGACCCCTCCCTCAAATTTGGCTAAATAAAAAAGTAAAATCCTTTCTATTTAGTAAGCACTTAATAGTTTACAAACACCTTCACTTACACGATTTATGCTGTCATCATCACAGAAGCAGTGAGGTGGCTGTTACTCTACCATTTTGTAGATAAGAAGACTGAGGCTCTGCTTATAGTAAGCCCTTGTGGGAGGGGCCACAGCTTGGTCCTGCAGCCTGAGGCGTCCCCCCTACCCTCTGTGCAGAGCCCCAGCCTTTGGGACCCTCGGAGAAATGGAGGAATTGAGGCCCCATGTGGGAAGCACAAAGAAAATCGTGCAGTACCAGGCCTGCTGGGGTGGGGGTGGGGGGCGGCCAGGTGACTAGCAGATGCTTGTGGGCCCTGCTTTTGTCCCAGCGCAGACTCTGGCCTGGGCCGTTGAACTTGTGGTTCTTCCCTGAGGACTGACAGAAGCAGCGGATCCTTTCTTTCTCTCACATCCCCAGGGGAAACGGCGTCCTGCTGGAGGGAGAACTGGTAGATGTGTCTCGCCACCGCATCTTGGATGCCCGTGACAGGAAGGTGAGGATGCCTCCCTGGGGACACCCGCAGGGCACTGGCTTCCCGGTCCTCAGCCACCAAGCCATCTCCCTGTGCTTGGCTCTGCCAGTGCCCAGACTTGGGGTGCAGCTCATTCCTGGGGGGGCTTGTAGGGCAGGTGGGGGGTGGGTGGGGAGATAGCAGCCCAAAGGGGCCACTGGGTGGGAAGGGGTCAACTGGGACTGTGCTGGGCGGAGGACAAGAGGGCAGGACCTGGCTTCTTGCTGACAAGACAGACCAGCCCTAACCCCAGTGGCGTGCTTGGGGCTGGGATTGGGAGGGTGAGAGCAGAAGGGGTGAGGTGACTGGTTCGGGGCTGAAGCTGTGTGTGAGCTGGAAGGCACTGTGAAGAGGTCCTGTTGCCTTCTGTTTAGAGTGCTGGGAGCCTTGCTGGGTGGGCAGGAAGAATGGCTCTTTATTCTGGGAGGGCCGAGGGCCCAGATTCCTGGCTTCTGGTCTGGTGGTTCCTGCTGCCCGAGGGCCTGATGGACAAGGTCAGAGAGGGTTAGCAGCCTGTGCGGGTATGACGGGGTCAGCAGTGACCTTCCCCTTCCTAAGTACCAGGTCTGTTCCTGGGAGGTCTCATGTCCTTGGAATTTTTTGGAATTGCATTATTTTAAATGTACTGGTGGAACTTGCTTTTAGAAGGAGCCTTGAGGTTCTCCCTTTGCAAAGTGGTGAATCTCTTGGCATGGGCTCGCTTGTCTTTGAATACCACCGTGTGTGGCTGGGCACTTTGGGTTTCTGGGACCTACTCGTGCATTACAGGTGGGGACCTTGGGGTGGGAGGTGGGTTGCTGTGTGCAGGGCCTTTGTCCAGCCTACAGTCTGTGTTGTTGACCCTGCCGGGGGCTGCATCTCCCGTGTCTGCACGCCTTCTTCCCTTGTGCTCTCACGCCCCTGGGGTCATGCCGTCTGTCACCCCGCCATCTCAGGTGTGCACAGACACACCTCTGCTTGCCCGTGTCGCTTTCCCGAGCACTAGTTCTGAATTTCCATCCTCTTCCATACAGCCCCACTCTGGTGTGCTGACCACCTTAGCTCCTTGGTCTCTAAGGCCGAGCTCATCTCCTTGCCACTGAGGCAGGCCAGAGGCCTGGTGCTACTCAGAGCCTGTTGCTGTTCTGCGGCCCAGGGGAGAGCCTCTGCTCGCCCACCCCCTCCTTAGTGTGCAAGTCAGCAGCGTAGACAACCAATCCAGAGCCCCCAGCCAGCCTGCCCAGCAGAGCCAACACTAGTAACTCCAGCCTGATGTGGGGCTCTCTTAGCCCGGCCCGAACTTGCCTCCTCTGAGTTCCTCCTTCCTCGTGATAAGGCAATAGACCTCCCAGCTGCTGGTCACAGGCCTGCAAGCCCCCACTGTCTCTTCCTCCCCTCTCCCCGAGGCCAGCCGTGCCTGGTCCTGTTGGCCTGCTCCCTTGACCATCCCTTCCCTGGCTCTTCCCTTCCTCTTTCCACTGGCCTCACGTGGGCCTCAGGAACTTCGCCTGTCCTCATCAAACTTGCACCTGCCCCTCCTTCCTTCTGGCTGCCCCCAGCGCTCGTCCTTGCCCTGCAGCCAGCTTGTTTTCCGAAAGGCATCTCTGAGGATCTCGCTGCTGCTGAGAAACCTTTGGGGATTCCTTCTTGTCTACCAGATCAAGTCCAAACTCCAAGTACCAGCTCAAGGCCCATCTCAAACTGATCCTACTTGCATTCTCAGCCTGGGTGCCCATGAGGCCTCTGCATGCCCTGCGTTGCTCAGACACGCACATGGGACCTTGACTTTGATTTCGTACCTGTCCCAGGCTTTGAATAGTCTCCCTACACCCTTTCCCCCCCGCAGTCGTAGGTCTCTCCAGCCTTGGAGACCTTGCCTTTTCTGTTTGTCCTAGGAGGTGGATTCCTCTTCTTCAGTCTGTGGGAGCGTGTCGTCCACCTGCTTGCATTAGAGTAGCTGGCAAACAGCGTGGCCAGCTCGCTCCGTGTCTCCCACTGTGCTTGCTCCTCTATCCTCTCATTGAACCTTTACAGCACTCCTGAAAGTAGACAGCACGTTGTCCCCCTGCCCCAGTGGAAACTGAGGCTAGGAGGGATTTGCTTCAGGTCCCACATGTGTTGGAAGAGGCACAATGGCCGCCCTCACTCAGAACCCTTACACAGCCCTTTCCATGACACTTTGGCTTCTTTCACTCCTGCTTCACAGTATTTGGGGTCCTTGGTGCTTGGGTTATGGTTTTGTGTCTGTGTTTTCTGTCTCTGGCTGGGTGGAGACCGTGGGGTCAGGCCCGGGGCCTGCCGTCTCATGGCTGTCTACGTGGTTCATTTTGTGTGGCAGGTGCTGTACTAAGCACACGATTGGATGAATGAATGAATATTGGGCCGGGGGGCGGGTGCATCTGCCCGGCTTGAATATCTTTTGGCGCTGAGGTGGGATTCAGGGTGGAGGGAGAGGTTGGGGGGGCGGTTTGCAGTGGAGCCCTGTGGGAGTGTGTGTGTTGGAGGATGGGGGGAGCGAAGCACCCCCCTCACTCTCTCTCCGGCCCCAGGAGCACTACTATGTGCTGTACATCAGGCCCAGTCGCATCCATCGCCGGAAGTTCGACCCCAAGGGAAATGAAATCGAGCCCAACTTCAGCGCCACCAGGAAGGTGAACACGGGCTTCCTCATGTCATCCTACAGTAGGTATCCTCCATCCTTCCTCCCTCAGGGCCTCCTGACCCTGTGGCCTTTCTGTGTCTCTAGGGGTCTCGTGGCCCCTAGTGAGTGTCTTAGTTGTGGTTGGCCTTGAAGCCCATGTCTGGCCTGAGGGACCCTGACTGGACTCCTTCCTGCCCCCCCATTCACTCAGAGGATCCCCAGTGCCCCACCTCAATCCCCAGGGCCTGGCTGGCCTTCCACCTCCTGCCGACTCCTGCAGTCGGGCAGAGTCGTCCATGTACCCGGCTCTGGGCTCTCACTGCCCTTGTGCAGAGCCTCCTTTTTCCCTCCCAAATTCCCTTGTGATTCTTAGGCCCTTGGTGACTTCATTCCTCTTTCCACCAGGAAAGAGGGGGGACCAGCAGGCCTGTTAGGAGGCTGTGATGGCCGGATTAAGGGCCTGTCGGTGAGGATGGAGAGACTGGACAGATTGGAGACAGAGGAGGGACAGTGGCCTCAGTGTTTGGAGACGGGGAGAGTGAGGAAGGAGTCAGGGACTACCCTGGGGTTTGGGCTTGGCTGCAGGTGTGGGGAGAAGAGTTCTGTCTGGGACGTGTGGTCGCACTTCCGGGGAGAGGTCAATGTCCACTGGGGCCTTGGGGACACAGTTCTAGAACCCAGGAAGTGGGCTGGGCTGGAGGCACATGTTTAGGAGTCATGACACACTGCTGGTACTGAAGCTATAAAAGAGGATGGAGTCGCCCAGGAGGCCATCTTGGGGAAGAGCAACCACAGGAGAACAGGGAAGGAGCCTGTAAGGGGCAGGAGAAGGGACCCCTGCAGAGGGCTGAGGGAGAGGGGGAGCCTGTGTGTCTCCGAGGCTCAGTGAAGGTGGGGGGTGGAATATGAGGGAGAGGTAGCAATGGGGTCAGGTGCTATCTCGGGCCCAGTAAAGTGGGGACTGCGGAGCCTCCGGCAGGCTCACAATGAAGAGCCTCCCAGTGACCCCGGTCAGGGTGGGAGTGGGGGTGGGGGGCGTCTGAAGTAGTGGGTGTCAAAGCCAGAATTCAGGAGGGCATTAAGGAAAGATCCAGTATGGAGAAGGAGAGCCAGGTCCCCGAGGAGGGGGAGGGGGTGGGATCTGGAGCCCAGATGGAGGAACTGGCTTGAGGCGGGAGGGGGACCTGTGGTCCTTTGAGACAGAAACAGAAGAGAAGGAGGAGAGGTTTCATGTGCTTATCGGTAAATTGACAGGTGGCGGCAGGGGGTGAGTAGCCCCACTTCTGGCTTCTGCTATCTTGGGAAGTGGAGGTGAGGAGGTTTGTCTGAGGGACGTTAAGCAGGGCAAGGGCTGAGCAGAAGGGATCAGTTCAAAAGCCCTTGGTGGGAGTGAGGCATCTGGGGAACCCCAGAAAGCATCCCTGACAGAGCTTGGAGGTTTTACACCCTGATGGAAGGGGGTGTGGGCTCCCTGGGCTGGCTGGCTGCTCTCCAGCAGAGCCCTGCCCCCGGCTGCTGGTGTGGAGAGGACCACCTGCAGGACCGTTTGGGGTTGCTGAGCTGGGGGGTCTCTTTGCACACGTTCATGAGGTCTCGGGGCCTTGTGAGTCCTCCTGGCCCTGCAAGTCCTCACTGCTCAGTCTGGGACACCGCTGCCCACCCCCTGGTCCCCAACCCGGGATCTGCAGATTTGGGACATTTGGGGCAGGCAGGTGAGGCTATTGGAATCCTCCCTGAGCCCCGAGCTTTGCCAGGATGGGGATGAGCAGGCCGAGGAAGAGTATGGGGATCACCACCATTTGCTGCTCATTCCAGCAGACCCCAGCCCAGCCCGGAGACCCTGAGAGCCTGGAGAGAACCCTGGCTCGTCACTGGGGACTCCGTGGGAAGGCAGAATTCTGTGGGGGGTTGGGATCCTGCCTCCCCCACTGACTAGCTGTGTGACCTTGGGCAACTCACCTGACCTCTCTAAGCCTTCGTTTTCTCCTGTGTCAAAAAGGACTAATTAAGACATTTACATGCATTGAGGGTCTCCCACGCGCCAGACACTGTGCTGAGTGCTTTACATGTGTTACTTCACTTACACCTCACATCAGCCCTATCAGGTAGGTACTGTTTTTATCCCCATCTGTCAGGCCCAGAGAGGTTAAGTCACTTGCCCGAGCTCACGTGGCTTGTAAACAGATCGGCACCCGGCAGCCTGGCTCCCGAGCCCACACCCGTAACTCCTCTGCCAGGAGTCCCCCGGTGAGTCCCGGCACCGTGGGGTCGCAGAGCTCTACCTTCAGGTGCTTATGAGTATGTAGAACACTCAGGCCTCCCCTGGCTCCTGAAAGACCCCCTGCGTGCTTGCTTTTCCAGCAGTAACGACCTTCTTGTGCTGTGTGCCTACAGAGGTGGAAGCAACGGGGGACACGGACAGACTCACGCCCGAGGCGCTGAAAGCACTGATACAAAAGTCAGAGCTGCTTGCGCTGACGGAGAGCCTTACCCCCGACCAGACAGTGGCGTTCTGGATGTCCGAGTCAGAGATGGAGGCGTTGGAGCTGGAGCCGGGGGTCGGGGTACGGCTGAAAACTCGAGGCGATGGCCCCTTCCTGGGTGAGCATGTCCCCGTGGCCTGAAGAGGCTCCTGGCCTCCTGTCTGAGGCTCCTCTACCCCTCCTGCTTAGAACGCATGGGAGCAGGCCAGGTCTGCTTAGTCCTGAGATTTAGTCCTAAGTCTCTGGACAAGTGCCCTGGGGCCAACAGCCTAGACACTCTGGATCCTGGGGTGCCGCCCAGTCCCGTGGTTCCTGTGGGTGATGTCTCCTATCTAGTGCCTCGGGGATCACACTCAGGGCCTCCCCGAGGGCACCCAGGTCTGAGAGAACAGTGGTTTAACCCAGGCCTCGGAGACCCCAGCAGAACAGGCCAGCCCCCCCAGAATAGGGAGATGGGCCATTCAACTTCTTCCCTCCTTTCAGAGTCATTAGCCAAACTTGAGGCTGGAACAGTGACCAAGTGTAATTTTGCTGGTGATGGAAAGACAGGGGCATCCTGGACAGACAACATCATGGCCCAGAAGTCTTCGGAGGGAGCCACAGCGGAGACCCGAGAGCAGGGGGACGGGGCGGAGGACGAGGAGTGGGTAGGTCAAGAGAGATGACTGTGGGCCCGGCATTGGTACAGTTTACCTCTCGGCAGGAGTTTTGTCTGCACGGACTGAGGTTGGGTGTAGGACAAGAACGCAGCAGCACACATTTCACACCCCCATTTCACACCCCCAGCTGTGGTGGAATTCCACGGGATTCCTGAGTGTGTGTTAGCCTCAGGAAAGTTCTTTTCAAGGAATGAACGGTGACCACTTGAGACCTTTCTTTTTGGTGGGTCTGAGCTGTGCCAATCTACAAGAAAGTCCCAAAGATTGATAAAAGCAAGGGATGGAAAGAATGGACTATGGAGGGGAACCTGTGAAACCTGATGCCGTTAAATCTCCAAACATTTTCACTTCCAGTGAATACATTAGCCGTGTTGTGGCAGCTGAGCTGAATGAGCATTTCTTTTCCTCCTCCTTCGTTCTGGGCTCCCTGCCCAAAGTGGCTGGAAAATGGCTGGCTTGGTCCTCACTAGGTTGGGTATTTTTTTTTTTTTTTTTTTTGCCAAGGATCAGCCCCCTAGTTGATCTTTAGTCTATCCACGGTCGATGTGTTTTTCTGAAGTGTATTTCACCCGAAGATTTGAATTGATGTCAAAAGGCCCCAAATTGAACATTTAAAACAAAGTCACAGAAGAATGGGCTATTTACCTGGGTGATATGGATAATGATACTTGCCAGAGAAAGCAGGGCAGAAAGAGTGGAGGGTCTGGAGTCCCCTCAGAATGAAAAACAATTAGAGCCACCAGACCCGATCCCTGGGCCCGCTCAAATGAGGTGAAGCCAAGAAAGGTGGCTGAGGGTTCCACTGGTACCCCTCAAGGGAACCCTTGTTTGTCTGATGACTTGTAGGAGACTTTTATGAAATGCGCTCTGTTCATACCTCTTTACTTAACCCCGAGGACGACTGAGGCGAGTGGGAGTGAAGCGCCTCCCGGGCCTACCAGCACTGCTGAGAATCTCTTCCATCAACATCGACTCTGGAGGTCGAGGGAGCGGTCCGCCAAGCCTTCCCTGGTTCTTCCTACAGCTGCCATGGAATGCTCTTGGAATAAGCAGTGCTAAAATCAAATCCAAGACGGTGACATGAACAGTGGCGCCCCATGCTGTGGCTCATGGAGGGGCCCTCCCTCGATGTGCGTCTAGATCTTCTAGATGTTTCCATGGTGGCCCTTGCCCTTAAATGGCAGCCTTGTTTCTGGAAGCAGTCAGTGGAACCAAACTTGGTCTTTGTGTAGACTTGGGGAATGTCCCTCATCTGCATGCAGAGTGGCTCAGGGGTCCCTTCCTCTGCCCTTGTATTTTCTCCTATACCTTCCACGCCTGCTCCCCC